CTGTTGAAAATGGTTAAATTCCATTTTGGCGTTTTGACGTCATGCGGGTTGACTAGTTATTATTATACATATGTATGCTAATTCTTTCCATATCATAGACTTAGCGAATTGTCTTGTTAATTATTTTCATATATTTCTCTGTTTACAGGTAAAATGGACAATTCAACATGAAGGAATTAAAGAGGTTATCTTTGAAGGCCACACATTATTTGTATTAAATTGTTGTCGCTGTGTCAGTTTAATCATCTAATTAGTAGAAAAACTATTTGCACTGTGCAAATTGACGTTTATCATAGCTGAGCCGAAGTTATAAAAGAAAGTGCAAGTGGCAGATGCAAGTATTTGCATAGTTGTGGAGAACTGTGAAATTGCAATCCATCACATTTCTTTTTTAAGGTCAAAGTGTTATATTATTTCAAGAGGTATTTATAGCTGAGTTTTAAAATGAAACATTAATTCATTAATATATGCATATGTAATAATATTTTATTAATTATACAGGAGGAGTGTTTTGAACACATACACTAAACACGTAGAATTGAGAGACGAAAACGTAGACATTAGAAATTCTGTATAAGACACAATGGACAAAAATATGATGTTGCCGAAGCGTTCACGCTTGGACGTGAAGGGTACATTTGCCAATGGACCGTTGCAGGCACGGCCATTGGTGGCGTTACTTGATGGTCGCGATTGTTCGATTGAAATGCCTATACTGAAAGACGTGGCCACAGTGGCCTTCTGTGACGCACAAAGTACATCAGAGATTCATGAAAAGGTTAATAGATAAATCCAATTAATTCGGTTTTTCTTCTAACATAGTGTTTACATTATAGGTTTTAAACGAAGCTGTTGGCGCACTAATGTGGCATACCATAATCCTTACAAAGGAGGATTTGGAAAAATTCAAAGCTTTACGTATCATAGTGCGGATTGGCAGTGGTACGGATAACATCGATGTGAAAGCAGCGGGCGAACTTGGCATTGCCGTCTGTAATGTACCCGGTTATGGCGTTGAAGAAGTCGCAGATACAACAATGTGCTTGATATTAAATTTGTATCGAAGGACCTATTGGCTGGCGAATATGGTGCGGGAAGGCAAAAAGTTTACCGGGCCTGAACAAGTGCGAGAAGCAGCGCACGTAAGCAGAAATTATTTAAGGAATACACAAATTGTGAATATTAACGTAATACGTATGTATGGTTGTGATTTAATTATTGCAGGGCTGCGCTAGGATTCGGGGAGATACCTTAGGTTTGGTAGGACTTGGCCGCATCGGTAGCGCCGTCGCCTTGCGAGCAAAAGCATTTGGCTTTAACGTTATATTTTACGATCCTTATCTTCCGGATGGTATCGATAAATCACTTGGCCTAACTCGCGTCTACACCCTACAAGATTTGCTATTTCAATCCGATTGCGTTTCGTTGCATTGCACACTCAACGAGCATAACCACCACTTAATCAATGAATTCACAATTAAACAGGTAATATGCATGAAAAAGGGTTCTAAACATTGATTTCAATATATCCTCTTGCAATTTTTAATAATTTTGGGAACAATAATAATTAAAATTTCATCCTTCTATTTGCACAGATGCGACCTGGTGCATTTTTGGTAAACACTGCACGAGGTGGGCTGGTCGATGACGAGACATTAGCTCTGGCTCTAAAACAAGGCAGAATAAGAGCTGCAGCTTTAGACGTGCACGAAAACGAGCCCTACAATGTATTCCAAGTAAGCGTTAATTTCTTTCAATTTAAGATTGATAAAAGCAGGATCTAGAAAAAGTTTGCTAACGAAATTGGCGAAAATTAAACTATAGTAAAAAAAACTAATAGCTTGTAGATTACTCTATGTTTTTGTTTCTACTTCTTAGTGCCGATTTCATGAACAAATTAAAGAATATCTTAAAATTTAAAGGATGCTTTATTTTGCTGATCAACTTCATAAAGCCACTTTAAAGATAGATAAAGGTGCCCATAAGAGGCTCTATATTTAAATACCCCAAAAAGAGGTCGCGTTTGTAAGAAAAAACTGTAATTTTCGTAGTTATAATAACATATTTATGACAATCAGCTGATGCAATTTGCCGAAATCAGCATTGTCAACTTATTTCCATTTAAATGAACCTTTTGTTATTATTCAATTGCCATTGTATTATGAAACACTTCTTGTTTAAAGTATATTTAATGACACTTTAACTAAAAGGAAACTTTTGCAAATTGAACTATAAGTGTTTAATTATGAAATTGGCCCTTATTCTGTTATAACAATTTATTTAATTTTCGCAATTTTTCGCCTTCAGGGAGCCCTTAAAGACGCTCCAAATCTTATATGTACACCACATGCAGCCTTCTTCAGCGATGCATCCGCAACTGAGTTGCGAGAAATGGCAGCAACGGAGATACGACGGGCAATAGTCGGCAATATTCCAGACGTCTTAAGGAATTGTGTGAATAAGGAATACTTCTTGCGAACACCGGCTGTAGCTGCTGCTGCTGCAGCTGCGGCAGTGTACTCAGAAGGTAAACTACAAATATTATCAAATCCAGAAAAGTGAAAGTAATATTTTTACCTAACCGTAACATTAATGAAAAACCAACAATACAAAAAAGCAAATAGAAGAGAAACATTGCAAATTAAAGTAAGCGCAAAAATTTAAATAAAGCAAGCAGGTTAAAATACAATTAAAATTAATAAAAACAACACAAACACAGAGTTAAAACGAATAATTGAGCAAAATGAAAGCTGCAACCTATAAACAGATACAGTATAACACTGAAAAAAAAGAAGCAAAGAAAACTAAGTAAACAAAAAAATAATAGTAGAAACTTAATAAGGACTATTTAAGAATCTAATTTAAAAGCGAATACTTATGCAAAAATAAGAATAATACCTTAGTGCATAGAACCCAATACCAACAACAAAGAAGTATAACAAGCAGCAAAACAATAAATGGTAGCGACAAAAAAGCAAAGCCGCGCAATGCATTTGATGAAGATTGATGTAAAGAAATTAACTTCTTTCAAATAAAATTTATTAGGTTTATAAAGGTGCAGCAGTAGCGGAAACAAACGCAGAGCATATCTGTTTCCATTTCCTTAATAATAATAAAAAAGTCATGCAGTTGTACAATACATGAGCTTGGTAATGTGTGTACATATGTACAATACATAGGTGTATTTATGTCCATACTCATTTACCCCCCTTCATTAGCATACGCCGTCTATATACATACATACGAATTAATGCATACATATATAAAGAAAAAAATTGGCGCGATAAAGGAGCAGTCAGGTTAAAGAGACAAGAATACTATTGAAGGCGGTTTGGTTAAGTGATAATTCAATTTGTAAAATTTTTGTGAGTGTTTGTGGCACGTAATTTTTTAATTGATGTCTTCTACATTTCAAATTACAGTCTTGCTATAGTGACTTTCTTAAGGTCATAAGGGAGTAAAAAACCTGGCACAACACACTTTTTACAAAGTATTTTCCTTTTATTTTTATCTTGTAACATCGAAAAAGACTGTAAATAAATATTCCGTAGGCGTGCGATGTTCTTAGCATATATTTCACAATATTTTTATTTTCATCTTGTGTGCTGTTGGCTTATCTCACACCTGTGGAGTTTTTAGAGTTTTTCGCATTTCATATATTATATACGTACATACATACATATGTTCTACTTTTCGTTTATTTTATGTTATACAGTTCATGTAAAAGCAAAAGATATAAACACTTAGATTAATTGACAGTTACCCATTACTCATCGCAAACGTTTTACAAAAAAAAATCGTTTTTTTTTTGTAAATACCACGCGGAAAAATGTATGCTCATTTTGTAAATTTAAGTGAGGAATTCTAGTGAATGCACGGATTTTAATCTTTTATCAATTGAATTGCATAGTTTACAAAAATACTCTAAAAGAAACTGGACAATGAAAGTATAATGCTGGAATATTAATACATACACGTATAATATAATAGCGGCTATTATTAAATCCATATACGAAAATGCCATTGCTAAATCCGAATGTCTACGAAAGTAAACTCGAAACGCACAGAGTATTGTTCTCGAAATCGTTCATAATAAAAGTTTTTGTGGATTTCTACGAGAAGTGTATGCCGTCGGTGCATAGTTGAAAAGCGCTAAACCTCAGAAACTGGATGTAAGCTGCGATAATGGTACAGTTGTTGTAAGAGCATGAAAATTCCCCCCAGAATTTTTGTGGAACATGCTTGCGTGGATTGGCGGTTGCGTAGACCCTTCTGTTTTTGGAACGCAATAATAGCAACAGCAAATATTTCTTATAGTGACGAATTGGTTTCAATTGGATATAATATTTGTGTAAATGTATATATAAAACAATATATATTTAGCTGCTGAACGCCGGTTAATAAATGCAAGTTTGTTGCGGTAAAAATAACTTATGGAGTTGAAATGCAATTGAACTTTATAATTTCCTGAGTTATCAACCAGTTAAATTATATTTTCTAAAGCCAACATTAATTTCGTGGAGAATGTTTGCACCCTAAATTTTTGCGCGAAATATGTATCATAAATATATATCTCGATTTTTCCTTTTCTTCATATACCATCTATAGCGAATAAATTCCTTGCAGTCTGTCCAAGCAAATTTATTATAATCTAGCCGACTCGGCAGAGTGTTCTCCTGCCTAAAAATGTGACGAAAAACAGTTAAGATGATTGTTTTAAATGTTTGTTGGCAAAATTTATTAACTGCTGCGGTGTTGTATGTGTTTTGGAATAGCTGGCATACGATTTTGTTGACAATGTTCTGTTTTGTGGAATATATTTTGTATTTAAATAAAGGTTTAGTGTTTATATAGTATGCATGTTTACCGTATGCATAATACTCATTTTGCAAGCGCCAATAATACTCGTGCATAGCTTCGCCGACTCACCCGTCATCTCTATTTGCAAAGGTTTGTTGATGATTGTGATGAGATGATATCAAGATTATTCAATTGCTTTAAATATTTATATTTTTTATGCCTTATGGTTAAAAATGCTTTTTGTTCACGAAAGGTAGTTGACTTGAAAATGTCCTGGGGAATTTGTGGAATCAAAACGTTTTAATACTTTGCCTTCTGAATAGTTGCTTCGAATTCATAAATTCAGTTGGGTAACCGAAAATGTCGGCGATATTTATAATGGATCGATTACGGATGGCAACCGAACTTCAGTTGCGTTGCCAGTGGCTGAAATAGTCATAAAGATGCAACTAGGAACTAAAAGCTGTCAACTGAATTGAATATATTGGCAGCTGCAATTTTGTGCAGAAAAATTTTGACTGCTGGTACTTCGAAATTCTAGTATCTTCATAGCACAAATTAGACGGTTTAAAACAGACGTTGATTTTATCAGCGGCTGATGATCTAGGAATGATGGAAAGTATCAGGTAAAAATCTTCGACCAATATTAAATATTGCGCAATCTACAGGAAGACTTTCCAGTTTAAAACTTTCAATCATTTTTTATGCTCCATCATAAATTTATCCTAAGAAGTTATTTAACATTACTGTTAAACTTTAGCCATCCCACAGAATACTACAACATAAAATTATGCAAAGATCCATTGTTTACTTAGCGCCAGATGTTTTTGAAACATCAAAGTGTGGCATTCGAATCAGCAAAATTTTTTTCGAGTTCACTCGGATTTAGTGATAGGAATTTTTTCGAATATTCAGATTCATAAATTTGCTATAAGGGATTCAGTATAGCCTTAATTGTTTTCCTTTCGATTACGATAAAATCATAGTGATGGCACTATTTTTAGTATTGTTGTATGTAATATTTATTTGTTAAACCGTGGTTTATTATTCAAAGGTGGAAAGTATCAACCATTTAGACAAGTTCAGTTCTTTCACAAGGTCAGTTCTTTCCTAATTTCGGATTTTATTTTCTACTTTTGTGTCTTTTCTGTTTTATGTGTTTTTAGTTGGGATAGTCTCTAGCAGCAAGTCTTAAAACGGACCAAAAATATACATATCGCTCATTTACAAATATTGACGTAAGTATTCAGAAATTAACGGCACCTCTTCTATGTTGTGTAAAAATATCATGGCTTCATTGATTACCAGTGTCTCACTAGAATAAAATATGTATTCATTTTTATTACGGGAGTACATAAGTATATGTAAATTCAAAACTTTAAAGTCGTTTTTCTCGAGTTTTGCTTTTTGCGGATACAACACCATTGAAGTAAATGGGCGATATGTAGATGTAATATTTTCTGCTAGCGATGAATACCTCTTTTTTAACGGTCCAGATGCAGACAAAACCTTTCCCTAACCAACCCTATGTTTTATCTTTGCTATCTAAACCATTGTAAAGAAATAACTAGAAATGATGACTAGTACTGAGAATATTAAAATGAAAAATATCGAGGGCATAATAGATTCGTTAACCGCTAAAAAGATGATGATAAGAAATAATCGTGGGTGTTAATGAATGTATACTCTAAGAGTGTGTCTTAGTAATAAACATAAAGCAAATGTATATGAACCATAGATGAGGATGAAAGCATTTTTATAAATTCACAAACATATAAGCATCTGGATAACTGTGCATATACACATTATAACTTAATATTTTATAATCCTCCTATGTACATTTTATATTTAATAAAATCAAAAATTTACTGACTTTCAGAAAACAAATAAAATTGTGTAATTGTTAGAACTATTTACTTACCTTATTTACTAAATCAACTGTTTAATGTATTTTGATCAATGCGAGAACATACACATACAAATACATTTACATATTTAAATTTGTATAAATATACTTATAAGCGGAACCTAGTAAGTACCATCCAAAATCGAAGTGTTTAATGCAAAAACAATGAAATTCTGCTCTATTAAATGATCTCATCATCCTTGTTTATTTTCGACATCCGAATTAACTGTTATATAATACTATTTTGGTGCATATCTATCGCATATGTATGTGAGTAATTCTGCAAACAGTTTTAATTGAATTTGCCTAGATTTGAATATTCTAAACAAAAATTGTAAAAGTTAGATACCGAATACTAAAACACCATAATGTGCAAACCTTAAGCAAGTTTGAAATGATAGGAAGTAATTGCGACCAAACCGTTTTTAGGTGTTAGGCAACAAATAAATCTGCAAAAAGGCACAATAAAAAAGAAAAACAATTTGAAGCGCAGGAATGTAAAATAAATACTAAAAAATAACTTTATTTTGCAACAAGAAGGAAGATGAGAAAAGAAAGCTATATAAATAACAATTTTAACATCTAAAATAACAAAATTAAAATATATTAAAAGAGAATAGATTATGTACATTTAAAATACTTTAAATTTAATAATACAATATTAATTTAGAGATACGATTATATAAAACAAAAATAAAGTAAAAAAGAAAAGCTATAAAAAAAAAAAAACAAAATCAATTTATAAGTTCAGAAAACAAGTTAGTTCATAGTTTAATGGATTAAACATAACAATATACCTACGAACAATGAAAGCATATTAG